GACGCGGAATGCATCAGCGGGCCGGTCTATTTGCTCATTTGACGGCAGGTTGTAGTATCGCCACGCGCAGTTGACACAACGCCATCGCCGCGGTTGCCAGATATTTTCTCACTCTCTTATAAAAACAACACTGGAATCGATCGTCTCTGTGTACCACGTTGTAATTGAATCTATATTGGATGCAGGACGTGAGTGGGCCAAAAGTAAACTTGCAACAGATTTCTCTGTTTCATTGTCCCAGATTTTCCTGCCCAGGTTTTGTTTGCTGAACAAATGCTGTGTTCGGATCGAGTGATGAGGAAAACTTTGATTTTACTTCAACAGTTGTTGCTGATCGGGTTCCTGTTGACCAGTCGAAGCCACGGAATGGGCCAGTAATGGTTATGGTGTTCGACCCACGTGCCGTGGTACGTGGGTTCGAACCCTCACGGGGAACATGGTGTTTGTGTTCTTGGGCAAGCCACTTTACTACAATTGTCTCTTTCCACCCAGATGTATAAATGAATGCGCTGACTAGAACGCACTGATCTCGAGCTGCTACAAAAATTGGTCTCATGACCTGATGAACAGGGGTAATATCTGTAAAGCGCTTGTAGACCGTTGGTATAAAGCGCTATATAAGTACATTAGTAGCTATTTATTATCATTAAAATTTGTTCTTTGTTTTCGGGCATTAGGTTTCTGATTAGATAGATTGTCAACCTCGTCCCTATGACGTCGGGCAGTTCGCTCTCTCTCACCCTAGTACTGGACCATGTTCATTTCCAAATCCTTGCACATAATAATTAGGAAATGAGTAGTCTGGTTCCTGGCCTTCGGTAAATCGGTGTTAGACTTTTGTACGCAGGTTCCAGGGTGCACACAGAAGCAGGTTCCCCCTCCCAGGGTCTACTACAGTTTCGCGGTTGAAAGTAGACATTGCGATAGAGGTTGAATGCATTGTGGATTAGACAAGGACTTAAAATGATGTGTTGTCAATAGTGCACGGCACAGAAGACGTTTATGGCTGCCGTATACTATCAGCAAACTGAATTATAAAAACATCGAACCTCGCTAAGAACTCTCACGCCACTGGCTTTAATCTCATCAGTGAAAAAAGAACATGCCTTGCTTTTAAAAATTATCAATGTTACGATTTGCCATATACAAACGCATAAATTAAAAAAAATTAAACATATAAATGCAGGTATTGAACGTTCAATTACACTTTCAATAACCGTTCCAGCCAAACCTCGCGAGCTCTCGTTAAACCTCGCGAGTTGCCTGCGCGACTTCATTGCAGTGAGCTCCGTAAACGAACCAATATATTTTGCATAATAATCACCTTATTTAATGCCACATAAAAAAAAGGTTTCGTCACGCGTGGCTCGATGTTGACCGAACGTGTTGCGGTAAACAAAACTGAAGGTTGGCACCGATACAAGCAAACATGAGCCCGGTGTTAAAAAAAAAGGAACGATGATGAGTAAAGTCCGAGTTAATTAAATTCAAATGCATCTATTGTGATGGGGCTCGGGTGTCGAAGTAGATCGAGAACCCGGTGCTAATTTGATGTCGGTATCGTTTATGTTACAAGGGTTGCGGTTATTAATTTTTCGGCCGGCCCGTTTCGACTGTAATCATTCGGGGTTAATAATTATTATCGAAGATGTGTTGTGAGTGTTGGGTTGCAAGCAGGGAGACATTGAATTACACTTTGCTCAAATTGAAGCATTCTTGAAATGAAAAAAAGAAGGCACTCTCCTTTCAACTGCATGTATGACAACAGTGGTCCAACGTAATCAGTCTCTCTATTTTTGCCAATATTAATTCACCATACATGTTATTGGTGACACTTCAAAGCAGTCGTATCTCTTTTGTTGGTGTGTAGGCCAGTTTTTAAAACAAGACAGGGTGAGTAGAAAAAAGCGAATCCCAAATATCGGGACTATTGTTTTAGTGACGTTCTCCATGTAGCACTTTCTAAATCTAGCATATAAAAGCCCAATTCATAAGCTTTCTTTTAGTTTAAAAATCATTCAAATCACATGCGTGATTTTTAAGTTACGGAATTTTAAACACAACCACAGTTTTAAAGTTCTGTCCAATGATCACAGAACAGGTGTGCGTTCTTTCAGCAAAACGAAAACCTTAACACGGGTGCTTAAAATTCCGTAACTTGAAAAGTACATGAGTGATTTGAATAATTCTTGTACAACAAGAAAGCTTATGAATTGGACTTTTATATCCCAGATTTGGAAAGTGCTACATGGAGAACTTTATTAAACAACAGTCCCGACATTTGGATTTCGTGTTTTTTGACTCACCCTGTAGAATGATTGCTTTCTTATTCCTTATATTTGTCATTACTGCAGCATTATTTATATACTTTACGCGTTAAGGCGGAGCAAGAGGGCAATCTTTTGTCACGCTCTGATAGGTACGATCGAACCTTTAGTGCATTCGTTGTTGCTTAATTAAAAAGGAAAGAATATCCTTGCAGGTACCTGCAACGCATAGTTTCTACTGTATATTTTGTGTGAATCACAATGGGAAACTGAATAGGCTCCAGTTTTGTACAAAATTATTTGGGAAAAAATAGGCAAATAAAAGCAGGGTATTTTACCAGAATGGGATAAGAACTTGCCAGGTCTATTAGTCTGAAATCAAAAAATCCAACCCAAATATTTTATGCAGAGTGTGCCAAAAAAAGTTTCAACATGCAGAAAACAAATATTTGAAACTGTTTCATGTTTGTTCTTCAATGAAATTATGTATTCGTTAAAGCCTGACTATTTCTCAATCCACTCCTTTTATCCCATTCCATTTGGGTCCCTGGATCCAGAAATACAATCAATAAAGTGAAATGGTGTAAATTTTACTTGGTGCCACTCTCACCTGGACATGCTGAATCTGGGTTAAGCATTGAATAGGCACTGAACAGGCATTGAAGTTGGTGACATTACAGGTGAGAGTGGCCCAAGTAAAATGTACACCCTTTCACTTAATTGATTGTATTATCTGGATCTAGAGACCCAAAGGAATGGGATAAAAAGGAGTGGATTGAGAAATAGTCAGGCTTTAAAGTAATTATATTTTCATTTGAACAAAAAAATTCAACAGGTTTAATTATTTGTTTTCTGAATGTTCTGCATTTTTGGCATACTCTGTAAAATTATGTGTCTTTCTCTTCGCAATAATGCAATGACACAGAACTGAACCAATGTAGGCTTATTAGTGAATTATATGTTAATACACTTATATATCCATGATTTTGTTTCTTGTATTTCAAATTTCAACCTTTATATTGTTTCCTTTCGAGGCTTTGTGATTGCATCCGAATTACTCTCTGTGAGTATTAAGTTCAAACAGGAGTCGACCTATAGCAATTATCGGCACTCGAGCTTTGCACATGCCAAAGTCGTGTGTCCACGAGTGATGCATTTCCTCCTGGAAAATTAAAATTCGCCGTTTACCCAAAGAAACAGAAGCGAACCGGCGGAATTTCATTTCGGGATCTGAGTGCCTCGCTTGCAAGATTGCACCTCAGGTATAAACAAGTCCTGATGAGAATAATTTCAGGATGAAGCCATTCGCCATAGGCGGATGCACCGTGCGAACCGGTTTGATCAGGCAGGCATTCCAGGGATGTGACACAGCGAACAAAAGCCCCCCAAAATAAGCGCTAATTGCCGACATTTTTCTGTGGCTCCTGTTTGTGCATTAACTATCCGCCCAGACCAGGCACTCAAGTACGGCAGGGTGCTAGCGCGCTCGGCTGAAGTGGGCAGCGGGTAAGCGGGGCCCGTGTACGGCCCGGTCATTTATCGTCCTCGGCTTGACAGTCGCTGGGCGGGCGATGTTTGCTCCTTATCTCCGGTAACTACAGAGGGACGACGGCACCATGCAGCCGGGGTCTGGATAATGTTGCTAGCGGTAACACTGCAACGGCCATCATTATATGAATAATTATCAGTTAGACTACCTACCGGATTGCTCAATAGAAAATATTAACAGGCCAAACTGTCCGAGCTTTAATTCGCATATAAATTTGTCATTGACAGAAGGAGCAAAACCATCTTACAAACATGAACCACATTCAGTTGCATTCAAACGGATGAGATCCTTCTTAATTGATAAGCACCTGCGAGCGCAATTACCCGTCACCATCCCAAACAAAAGCTTTCACGAGCGAGCCAGGATAGTCTGGCATCGACCACTTGGCCATTAAAGCAGTCTCGTCGCTGCCCCTTAGACGTTTCTCCAGGGGTACTCTCGCCGTTGCCCTGGAGCTTCAACTTGAGATCTGATGACGTTACGAGTTCAAGGGGTAACCAAGCCTCTTGTGGACCCTGGATTAGCGTCTACGCCGCCCACTCTTCCGTACTTTAACGTGTGGTTGTTTTAGTCTGATGGCTGCCTGGTAATCAACGTGCAATGCGAAGAGTTAAAGGGGAATCCGATAAAAGAGTTCAGAAAACATTTTTTTTTTTAAAGGCTTTGCAAATTTCTTTGCTCTGTAAATCATTTCGTGCAATTTTCATTTGACGGATTGCGGGCTTGAATTAATAGTTAAATTGCCCGAATGTTGAGGTATTCTACACGCTACAATACACACAAGTATTTTAACTGCAATTCGAAAAGCCACAAAATATTATGGCCGTGGATCATTGCTCTGATGTGCTTTTTACTTCAATTCCTTTTCTCTTCATTTCAGATTGGCTCAACAAATGTATGCCTCAAATCTTAATGTTGGTATAGATACCCATGATTGCACACTTGGCTTGTGATGTGGAAAATTACTGGTACCCAACAGAAGGGCTAAGATCCTTTCTTACACTTAGGGAACCAGACCAATATGGCTGACGCAGTTTCCTTGCAAGAAGGATGGGTTATCAGCGCCAAATAACAATGACCGTATACATTCAAGGAACCAGACCAATATTGGGTGCTGCCGTTTCATCTTTTGTATTTCTTTTAATTGACCTTGTACTGACTTTTAAATGTCTTCCCGTTTACAGTGATCATCCAGGCCTACACGGTGGAGCTGCACGACAACCACGTGATGCGTGGCAACACCGCTGTCTTCAAATGTGCCCTGCCTGCTTACGTCAAGGATTACGTCGATGTGACGTCATGGTCCCGGTCAACCAATCCCCTGACTTCCGGTGAGTTTAAAGATGTTTTAGATTCTCATAGTTCAGAGTTCACTTCTTCCCAAGCCCGTAGAGGAATGTGCAAAATGGCTTTGCACACTAAACGATTGTTTTTGTAGATACCAAGAAAAGAAATAATTGATTTTTGCTAAGCCTCAGTAAGATTAAAGAATTAAATAGTGGGTTTTGCCCTTCACCGATGTGATTGTATAAACACTGTATACTCATTATTTCCCCAAAGTGATTGTGAAAGATACACAGTTTCCTGGTTTTTTTTTAGCACCGTTACATATTGTGTCTGATAAATGTTGATAAACGAGGGTTCTGTCGCCAGGAGGTCGAAGTAATAATCTAATAAAATTTGTAATTTCATTTTCTGAAAAGGAGTAAGTGCCGTTTTCTCTTTCTCTGCGAACCAAGACTTGTATGTCTTTTGCATGAATAATGCCGACTCGGTTTCATCCACTGTGGGATATGTTTTTATTTGAATCCTAACTATAGATCGATTGCATTTAAGAGCCATCTTTGAGTTGTGTTTTGTTATGCTAATTTATGACCAGTGGAGGCACAAGAGAGCCTCTACTCATCACGCGTAAACCCTGCTGAACAAAAGCACACACCTGAAAGGTTGCCGCAATGCAAATGGTCTGTAGGCAGTATAGGAGTAGGCAATTGACTGTGCCACAGTTTCATCTAAAACCGATTGTTTTTTATGGAGTAAATCGAGATGTGACATGTTTCCATTTGTGCACTATTATCTGCAGATGGACGATTCAGCATTCTACCGACAGGTGAGCTCCACATCCGGGACGTTCGGGACGAGGATGGGACGGGGTACCAGTATCGCTGCTCCACCAAAAACAGACTTACCGGGGCCGTGAAAGTCAGCCGCGCTGCTCGTCTCAACGTAGCGAGTAAGTACACCAGTCAGTGAAGAAGGGACTGATTCGTGTTGCACAAATTCACGTGGCAGTATTTCATGTTTCCATGGGATTTCCACACTGTTCCTGACGTCAGAAAACACAAACAAACAAACAAACAGCCCACCAAACAAACAAATAGGTGTGAATGCAATTGATAAAACTTTGACCAAATTAGGTTACCGTTTGTGCTGATTATGTGTTTCTAGTGAAAAATAATGAACAGGAAAACAAAAACACTGAAAAAAGGGAAGAAGAATTTTCTGGCAGTCAGTTATCGGTTGTTTGAAGATGACCTCGGCGATTATCTCTAAAACGTCACATCAAAAATATTACTTCGGTAAATTTTTCATTTTTTCCAGACCCGACCAATACTGTCCCCGAGATGATAAACAGCCGTCGGGAGTACGTGGGTGAAGTCGGGGACGCCGTGGAATTACCTTGCGTGGCCAGCGGGTACCCGATACCCGCTTACCACTGGAAGAAAGACGGGGAACCAGTGACCCTGGACGACCGGCTGACGCTGAACGGAGGTAACCTGCTAATAACCATAGTAGAGTTGGATGACGACGGCGTGTACGAGTGCGAGGCTACCAGCGATTCAGGCAGCGTGACCGCCAGCCGCCATCTCACCATCCGAGGTAAGCTAAACCTCGTCCCCATGGCGTCGAGCAGTACGATACCACTAGCGGCTCTCTCAGCCTGGCACTGATCATTTGCATTTAAAAATCTCGCAAATTATAATTAAGCCCATTTAATAAAAAAATATCATAAATGCTTTGTTCTGTTCTAATAAAAGGCAGATTCACCACTGCCGATTATGAAATGCAGCTCATTCAGTTTTCTTCAAAGACAATTTTTCCCGTGTCTACAAACGCAGTAAGGGAGGAAACAGTAAAATGTATGTTTCAGTCTTGACTCAAATGAATAAAATCCCATTTGTATTTGAATGCATGTGTGTAATCTGTAATTTTCACTCAGCTCAATAGCTTCCAGTGGCATTCCATGGACAGCTATATAAAAATATGTTCATTAAACATGCATAACTTCTGATAGCATAAGTCTTTTTTCAGATGAGGGAAAGAACATGCTCTTTTAAGATATATCTCATTTTTGTATTAAAATTGATTGCTTTTTAAAGATAAAAAAATAATTTATCCAGGTCAATTTCTTTTTGACTCACCCTGTAGTTTTGTAATCCTCGTACAGCCTCTCTTTGGACCTCTCTACCAGAATCATGCTTCCCTTTTACATCTAATATTTCACAATTCAAGTGAAATGTGAAGAGATACCTTCTTTCACCATGATTGTTTTTCTTTATTGTTTCTTAGTTTGTAGCCCACAGTGTTTGGGCGATACCCGGAAAAAAATTCATCCTTCAGTCACTTTCCTTGAAGGACCCAGTCGTACTTTTTTAATTGCAGCATTCGGTCACAATTTTCCTGCCAAACCTCCAATAGTGTACTGCACCAACATCCCCCTCATCAACAGTCACACTCGAACGTGCGATAGCACATGCACTTATCTACTCACCAAAACAAAAACGCGCGCGAGAATGGTCTCAAAAGGCAGCAACGCAAATATTTGCCCGAACATATGGCCACAGAGACCTCAGCTCATTTTTTTTTTGTTCTCTTCCATTTCTCACTCTCTTGACAAAGTGCAAATACAGGTTAGATTCTGTTATGTTCTCATATAAATATCCTCTTGAACAATGATTGTTACAAGAGAAATTCTGACATATGTACATTTGCGGTCTCAAAATGATAAACGTTAATTGTCTAAAAAGAATCCTAATTATATTTTAACCACAGGCTTCGTTAGAAACATGTCATTAAACAGCTCTTATAATCGAGTGCATTCCAGCAGTTCACTTAACGTTGTGAGCTCATGGAATGTGATGCTATTGGTTATTTTCAATGTTGATATTCAAAGAAAGCCGTTATATGCGTATTCAGTTCAAACGGTCAGTCTTACACAAAAAACCCACATCTGATTTGCGGAAGAATTCTTGAAATTAACTAAATTTTCCTCAATATTTTGCACCAAAGAGGGGAGGTCAAGTATTATCAGTTTGAGGCTAAAGACTAGACTGGTACATGTCAAACAATGGTCCAACTGTTTGAAAAGACTGACCTCTTCATGAGTCTGGTCGCTGACTATGGAGAAATGTGTAAAAATAGAGACCTTCACCAAACATGCCAGAATTTTCTTTTGACATAGTTGATTGATGCCGTATTGAAGGTGCTAGTTGCTCGTCCATTTTCTTGTATTTCATGTTTTCAATACCTTAAGTTTTGGAACTCTCATACACAGTATTGACTACTGAGAGCCAAATGTTCTGACTAGGCTAAACCTTTAATACACATGGGCTAGGAGGTACATATTTAGGGTTATGAATTGTTGAGGCGATTAAAAATATGTAATAGACCAGATTTTGAGAAACCTACTTAACCCGAACACCTTGCATTGTGTTACCTACAGTATAAATGAAACCCGTATTTTCCATCTCTTTGCCAATGTTAGAGCCCTTGGCCGTGTACTTCTACCCGCAACGCCGCAGCGTGGACGTGGGCGCCTTCGCCAACTTCAACTGCACCGTCAGCGGCTACCCGATCGAGCGGGTCACGTGGTACAAGAACGCCCGGCCATTGGACGGCGACGACCGCGTGACCATCTTCGACAACGGCACGCTGGAGGTGTCGGACATGACTCGAGAGGACCGGGGCATGTACCAGTGCGTGGCCAGCAACAGCTGGGAGACCAAAGAGGCGACCATGCAGCTATCAATGGGGGGTAAGGAGAAAGTGCCCAGTTGAAGGCGCGTTACTAGACCTTCATATTTTCGTTTGGAAAGAACGTAGTATCCAGACGCCACATCTTTGCTTGTGTACAAAGTCTGTGGAGAGCCGAGTTCACTTTCAAAGTATTTTCTAACAAAATTGCAAATGTTTCTCACTTTACGAGATTCATGTCTTTTCAACATTTGTTTGCAATGACTGACCTTCATTGAGATAACTGAAAAAAGTGAAGTCAGGATGCAAATTTCCTTAATTTCGTTTTTATGAAGATACGAAATCTTAAGGTTTTCATTTTAAAACTAGGTTGGCGAAGCTGTAAATTCATGTCACTTCACAAGCTTCTATTTTTTGTTATCTGTCGTAAATCGATTATATTTGTTTGCTTATTTGAATGAATGGTTCAATACGGAATCTGAAGACTTTTGATTTATCTAATTATAGGCCTATATCGTTTTAAATATACATAGATTCTTCCTAGAAAACCTCATTATAGAACACAAGTTTTTTTTCGGCACTTGACAGTCTGTGTATTATAACTGTCTTCATGCACGTGTAGCTATACGACAGTGTGGACTACAAAAAAACCTTATTGTTCGCTATAATTGAGAGTATACAGGTTTAATACACAACTTTACCAAGTGTTTCAGATGTCCATCTGCGGCTTGTTACCGTAACACGTGAGTCATTAATTTAGGCGAAGTGAAATAATATCATTAGCAATTAATGTGAATTGTCGGTACAAGATTGAAACAACAAACGATGAACATTGCACGCCACACGTGCGTTCCTCCGCGATACTTTCGCTTGCTATCACCTTCTGTAAATATCATGTCACTCCGTTTGAACAAAGAACTATGGTGTGTGGTAAATGGGAAAGGTGTGCTACAATGTGTACACTATCCTACGAAGAATGTGTTTTGAATGTTTGGGCCGCATGTCTATCGATCCCCGATCGATACTCGATCATTCATGTGGCACGTGCCCAAAGTGGCTTTCCCGTAATAGCCTGGTACTTAGGTCACATTTAGAATGTCACAATGTGAGAACAAAATGTGGCTAAGCCAAGCTAAGGTTAAACCAGGCCCAGGGCTTTCCCCCAAAAGAGGGGAATAAATAGAAAATCGAAATCAGAATACTCAACAGCACAGGAACACTCGGCAACCCATTGGCGTAATGAGCTATATAATGTCGTATGTATGTGTAAAGCGCTACCACTGTCGCACGCCGCACGCCGCACGCCGCCCACCGAATGAAACCTAACGCCGCTTCTGATTGGGTCCCAGATGGTTTCCAAATCGCGACGGGCCAATGAGATCCTTCCCCCGTCTCAGCTTTCAGACTTAAGGTTGCCTTAATGAACGCGGGACAGATGGCAAACCAACTAAAGTGCAATACAGATATTAGTAGTCCAATTCGGCACATGTGTACACACTTCCAAAGTGCTGTCCTGGGCGATTTGTGTCACGTTTCAAGGACTGATTTTTCTTTAATACAAATAATATTGTCGACGTCCGGAATCAAGCGATGCTTTTATGGGGCTCCAGATGACTCGAGTCGTATACCACCGGACATATTGCCTGCTTGTATTCCATGTGATTTGGTCAATGTGTTTTGCAGATGAATCCGTCATGGGCAACGAAGTACCGGGCGGGACAGGTAAACAAAATGATATGCACGAGGGATTTCAGTTGACGAGCGTGGCTTTACACCCCTTCGTGAATAACAATGACGTCACCTCATTTACGCGTGGCAATTTGCTGCATTTTGTAACATATTGCGTTTTAATGCAGTGATTGTTTGTGGCCTCGCCTTCTCGTTAGACCTCACACTGTAAATGTTTGTGTGCTTTTAAATATCGTCATAAATCTCCCGTAAACCTTTCAGAAAATATTGTACCTCGATAACGCTAAAACAAAACCACATCTTCATCAACTATAACAAAATACTAACCGTAAATAACCATCTTATCATAGAGTGTTTATGATTGAGAATGTAAAGAGTGCTTTTATTTTCTCCTCAAATTCGTAATTCTCGTACTAGTCCATGTACTTTCCTTCAATTAATATTTCCATACACCATCTGAAAGGATTTGTTAGCATTCGGTTACTTGTTTTTTTTTTGTGGTGTTAAAACGTACTCTGATGTTGAGAACCTGCAGTGAATAAAGTACGTTTGACATTGGCTGTAACATTGGCGTCGGTTGACATTTCACAATAGTGGAATAGGCCAGTCTTATTTGCTGTTTAAAGGCATGAGTTCTTCTACAGGATGGTCCAAAGTTAACACTTTTTCAGAAGCAGATTTCTTGGAATTGGGGAAACATGTTAAAATTGTTTTCAAGATATTCCTTCACTACAGCATTTTCGTGGGATATGGTGAAAACGGCGCTGAAAATAAAGCATACATTAAGAAATGGCGATGGTTTGAAGGCAGATGGTCAAAAACCAGTTTGTCCACATGCAAGTCTATGAGATATGGTCAACACATAGCACTGCGCGCATAAAGAACTGCAATAATTGTAATTAGGTCTTCATGACCGCCATAGAAGCGGAAAAAATAGTTTTGGACCATTTGTCTGTAAAAAGCCGCTGTTTCTTAACTTGAGTTATATTTTCAACGCTTTTTTCACCATATACCACCAAGATCTTGTAGTTGAGGAATATTTTAAAAGAATTTCAACATGTCTCTTTAATTTTGAGAAATCTGCCTCTGAATAAGTGCAAATCTCTTTTGGACCACCATGTACAGTGAACTGCAGCAACTTCCCTGATCATACGCGGATGGACTTTTTCGAAAACGGTAAAAAAATAAATTACGGGTGATTGCTCCTTATGGCTGTATGTTTGTATTAACTGCTATGATTTTGTAACGATTTCAGCTGCCAAACCAATCTTGCTGGACCACTTCACCAACGAGACCCTCCAGCCTGGACCCAATCTACAACTGTCATGCACGGTCGCTGGAAACCCCGCCCCCGACGTCACGTGGTACCGTGACGACGCACCCATCCCGCCAATCAGCAGGTACGCCTACAACGTCGTCATCAACGCGGACGGGGACGTGGTGAGCTACCTTAACATTACAGGCTTGCGGCCGATAGATGGCGGGCTTTACCGGTGCGAGGCGACCAGTGAGATTGGTGTTGCGAGCCACGAGGACAGCATTTTTGTTATAGGTTTGTAATTTATATTCATTTAAAATGAACACGAAAAATGAAAGATAAAGCACACAATAACCACCAAACAAGCAATATAATGATGCTAATCAATACAAGTTATCTCTTCCCTTGCTGTACAGTGTGTCTCCAAAAAAATGCAAACAAATTACATGTATAACGGAATGCCATACATAGCTTAGAATGTGTAACCAACATAGATAATATTGATATGGTTTAAAACACAATTCTAAACACTCTCTTGCTATCAGTTTGTAAACATGTTAACATTCTCAACTTGTTCAGCATGAGGTGATAGCAAGAAAGTGTTTGGAATTATGTTTACTTGCTTAACACACTTTTTTGTAGGCCAGGCAAATATTCACACAGAGGCAATTAGGCTACCTTTGTCCAAATGCCTAAAATTTAAAAGTTGATCCCATAGTCACTTTGACTTCTCTTGAAAAATTACTCAATACTCTGTAAAAAAAACTCATCAGATTTGGACATTTGATGTCTTAAAGTGGAAAGGCTTATCGTTCAAACCATGCCAATGTTATCTACATGTATAATGGTTACACCTTCTATTTTTTTCGTTATATTTCGCATTTCGTTATAATTTGATTGAATTTTTCTTTAGACACACAGTATATGAGCATTTATTATTCTAACTTTGTGATCTTTCAAGAAGAAACTGACTCAAACTTAAGATAAAACCTTGTTTCGAGTTCAGTGGTTCTTTCCCTCAGATGCCTACTTGACCGACTCGTTCGTAATGCTAGAATACCATGGCAATTTTGGAAGGATGGTCCATGCATTGTAAAAGGATATCACCATTGCAGACCGCTGAAGAAGTATCCATGCATGCAGTAAACGTACTCCGTCCTAGGCCTGTATATTCTATCTACAAAGCGAGTCCCATATGGACCTTGCAATCTAATTTCGCCTTAGCCATTACACTAAAAGAGAAGTATCATTGCCAGGACAATTGACTCTACGGATACACAAGCCCGTAATTTGTTGGGTATTATCCCACTCTTCGGTGTCTTGTTATTGCCGAAACAATGCAATTAATAACTCGCTTGTTGCAGCGTTGGGTCATCGGCACACACGTGCATACTTCATAAGTGAATATAGCCGTATGGTGCCCATTGTTCTCACTGCAAGCCAATACGGTAGGCTTAATGACATTTTCCGAGGCAAGTACAGTACGTTTTGAAGAGTTCTGACAACCATTGTTGGAATACATTATTGCGGCTTGGGCGTTACGGCCTCTAATTAGAAAAAAAAACCACTATAATCATTTTGCAATTTAAACGTGTTTTTTGTGGTGTTGATGACTTCCCAGTTACACTAGCATTATGTACTGTACGGCTAGTATTGTACAGCTGTATGCAAATGAAGTTGAATAGGCTTTCCTCCAAACCGGTTAATGTTAGGGGGATTATCTTCAGGATCGATACCACGTCTACGAGATAACCACGTGTGGCTTTTGTGGCCATTCACCTTTGTGACATAATTATAATAGAACATGCTTTAAGATGACTTGATGCTAAAGTCAAACTTTCCTTATTGAAGGTGTAACAAAAGCAATTTCTTTTAGCATAATACTTTTTTAAGCAGCAGAAAACCCCTTTGTAAAACCTGCGAGTAAATGCCAACATCGTTTATTGATTCAGTTATTTACGACTGCTCATCACCAATTTCCTGGGTCAACGCATGACAAAGTATGAATCATCCATCATTGTACATTAAACCAAAAATAAAACGCAAATTTAGAGCCGCACAACATGTATTGAGCAGTATAACACAAAACAATTAATAACCACAAAAATGATGCAGCGGATTGAAATATTGTTTGGTTTGTTATAATCTTCAGAAAACAAAATCTTTTGCAGCACTAAAACTTTCCAAGCCCGAGTAGGCAAATACTAAAAGGTTTTCGTGATACGTCGAGAGAAGAAGAAAGCAAAATGATAATTATGAGATAAACCATCAGGCAGCGAAAAACCCTAACTTTAAGCCGGAATAGTGAGGCGTGTTGCCTAGTGGTAAGGGTTCGTTACTCATGATCGGAGGGTCAGGGGTTCAAATCCAGCCGCTGGTCATTATGTTGTGTCCTTGGGCAAGCCACTTCACCCAACTTGCCTCTCTCCACCCAGGAGTATAAATGGGTACCGGCATTAACTGGGGAGTGACCTGCGATGGACTGGCATCCCATCCAAGGGGAGTAGAAATATTCTCAGTCGTTTCATGCTACTGAACCCGGAGATAAACGTCGGTCTGATGGACCACATTGACTTCACGTTTTTATATATGTCGGACTAGGTGCGGGAACTCGAGCCAGCGATAAAGATGGAAGAGCTGCATAGAGGAGATACAGCACAGTGAACCGGCCCGACGATCCCATAGCATTGGTGACTACGATGAAAACGTTTTAACTTTTTTTTCTTCCAGGGCCGCCCTATGTCCGTCCCCTCCCCAACATCACCGCCGTGGCCGACCGCGATCTTACCGTTCACTGCCGCGTGGTGGGCTACCCGATCCAGTCCATCACCTGGTCCAAGAGGGGCCTGACCCTTCCCACCAACATCCGTCAGACAGTCTTCCCGAACGGGACCCTGGTGATAGGCAGCGTGGAGCAGGGACGGGACGAGGGGGAGTATGTCTGCACGGCACGTAACAAACAACAGATGGCCCACTCCCAGAAGTTCACGCTTGCCGTTCACAGTGAGTGTCTTCCCAAAATTCTACTTAAAAGCTACGCAGAGGATCCCACAAATATGATTCACGATAACATCCGAATAAGAAAACAAAATTCTTGTGTAATACATGCAAAGCATCTACATCACCTACCTAATGAGTTTGTTGACAAGAGCTCAGTTACGAAAAGCTGCTTTTAGCAGAAAAGTATAGCAGACTAAGTCTTGTGTACAGCGAATTAATCGTTTTAGAACCAGTCAAAGGAAATATATAATTTAGCCAATGACCCATTAATGCAAGTAATGTCAGTGCTCATCACTTTAGTAACCCCGTAATGTAAGCTGCTGCCTAACAGACAACAAATTCCAGAGCGGCATCTGTACTGCAAAGTGCACGGGAGCACATCGCAACCGTATCAAGAAAGTGTCAGGTCATTCAAGACTAGTGTTATTTACTAGTAGTTTAAGTTTCTATAAACTTACAGTGCTTTTTTCTGAAAGCCGACCACCACCAGGCCCTATTTTGGTTCCACTCAAGGTGAGGCTACACATATAAATTTCCCTTTCTATAGGAATAGAAAGGAAAATCTAAGAAAAAGGAACAATCCTTTAAGTAGAAAGATAGGTGTCGACGTTTAAGCTCGATGAATGTTTGTGATCTTTCAAAATCTTGATTTGGCGCACTGTAAATTGTGATGATTGTTTCTCCCAGTCCCGCCGGAGATTGCCCCCTTTTCGACCCCGCCCCTCCCCCAGGGCCAGAGGACCCAACTCCTCTGCACCATCCCGCGGGGAGACGTCCCGATAACTATTTCATGGCTGAAGGACGGCGGGCCGATTCCCCCTGGCATCGGAATCACCCAGAGCCAGACCGCCTTCAGTAGCTCGCTGCTGATACTGGACGCGTCGCCGGTGCACGACGGCAACTACACGTGCGTGGCCAGTAACATGGTCGCAACGGTGAACTACACAACGGAGCTGGTTGTTCTGGGTGAGTTTAATCCAGCTAGCTCTAACAAAAACAAAAACAAGTACAGGCCACCAATTATGAAATTTGTATCCTTGTGGAGTCATTTCTTTGTTCTCGTGTACTAAAGTTTTCGAGAAGTGTACTTTCAAAATGCTCCTATTTTAACCAGAATAAATTTCCTGGGCTGAAATTCGGACTTTATATCCCTTACATAAAATACTACAATTTCTGACTGATCTACACACCTAAATTCCTAGTTTTTGGGTAAAATCCATATCTATTTCGTGATAACCTTGTGGAGACGTATTCACCTATAGAAATTGCTCTGTGGAGACGTATACAATCTTTTGTTCCCAATTGTGCACATGTCTGCACATGTCTCCACAGGTACCGTGTACCAGATCAATCGAACAGTATTCAAACTCACAACATGTACACATTTACTCGAGCAAAATAAAGTACTGATCATCAAACCCATGGAAATATTCATGTCCAGATTTTTTAACATTAAAGTGTTGGCTCTTAGACAATTCTATATGTATGAGGAACAAACTGCATATCTCAATACAAAGAATAGTTAACATTTTCGGTGAATTTTGCTTTAGTTGTGAACGTTTTCCACTTGATTCCTAGGCCGACATCAACTTCAACAAAGCGTTGATACAACGCTTAACCGAAGTTGAATTTAAATTCTCGATTGTGAAAAATCATCTAACAAATTGAGGAAAAAATGGATGGTGTAAAGAAAATCAATGGGACTGCCCTTTCTTTGAATCTTCACAGTTCCTCCTCGATTTGTCTTGCAACCCGAGGACACTTCTGTCGTGCTGAACCACACTGTGTACATCCCCTGCGTATCCGACGGTAAACCCAAGCCGGTCGTCATGTGGAAGAAAGCAGCAGGTATTTTACCCCTAACCACCCCAACCCTTCAAAATCCAATTGCAATGTTTTGTTGGAATATGTTGGAGTGAGTACTGCACTAGTTATTTATTATGCTTAACATGGGGTCAGGCATACCACCATAATCAGAGTTCAACAGTTTAGGTGTTGAGTTACCATATGGTGTTGGATTTTGTAAGAGTGAGGAAGGGTCCTAGTATATCATTCAAGTGGATTAAAGAACCATTTGACTTTATTGGAATTGTTAGCTTCCAGGGTCAACTCTAGACATAACTTAGCCATTTTTTGTCCCATCGAGGTGATGACCACCACTGCATCTACACTCTTTGGTACTGATGCTTTATTTAAATTTGCCATTCTTTTGTGACATTATGAGTATATTAAAATGTGAAGATGAGCTAGCTGCCCATAAAAAGAACGATGCTCTGGTTATGAAGAAGTGTGCAGAAATGTTTGCAGAGGGATGAGACATTTGCACTAAATTATGCATACATCTGTTTTTGTGCCATATCATCCGAGACTGCTATTCAATCGGAGTATGAGTTCACACAATCTCCAGTTATCTGTTATTTGACAACGTCTGAACATGGTGTCAGCGGTGGGATTCCAGTCGACCCAGGATCTAGCCTATTGTGGTTTCTCGTAAGGCATGACAGGTTTATGGGATATCATAGAACCATCAAATTGCACCTTTCCTGATTAGCGAAATGTGTAGCTCCAGCACACAAAGTCTATCCTTTTCCCCATTCATTTAAAAGAAATAATCCCATGTCTGAATTTCTAAACAGGGCCGGGTGCCTCAAACTTTGTGGACCTTCCGGAAGATCCCAGGATCTGGGTAACCGAAAACGGTTCCATGGTGATCGAGGAGGTGGAGGAGGAGGACGGAGGTTTCTACCTCTGCCACATCTCCAACGACGTCGGCAGTGACAGCAAGACGGCAAAGCTCTCCGTATACCGTGAGTTCAATCACTTATTAACTTTAAACACTTCAGCTAATGCCTCAAGAGGTAGCCATTAAGGCATCCTCTCTTCAGGTTATATGAATAAAGGAAACTTAGCCTGAAGTGTTTTTTTATTACAACAAGGTGGTCAACATTGGCATGATATGCTACCCACCACCTGAAACAGGTTGAAGTATGGGTCATTTAGTTTGAAATGTGTGTACTACTTACGCACTGTAAGCGGTACTTCAAAGTATAATAATAATAATATATAATGATCCAATGTATTATTGTATGCCCAGAAAAATGTCTTAGATTAAGACAATCTGAGAGATTTAAATTGCTCCTATACAATTTTATTCCAGAAGTGGAAAATAGCTACGTCAGCCTTGTTCGGGTATGGAGAGTGAAACGATGTCTCTTGTTGCAATGTTTGTTTTGTTTATATCATAACGAATCACTTCAGACAACGTTTGCACTTCAAGATATTTCGCCAAAAATCGGAAATGAAGTAAAACACGTTAAAACTTTAATGCAGGATATGCTATTGGGGTAAAAAAAAAATGAGTAAAAGTGGACTTTGTCAAAACTTTCCACGACAATTCTTCGACAGTTCCCGCCAGATTCGAAAACCACGCCGAGAACATCACCTTGGACGCGGGCCAAGACGTACACATGGACTGCCTGGCCACCGGCCACGACCCGCTTGAAATTCAATGGCGGAAGGACGGCGCCCTCTACACGAGGCTTGAGCTGGCGGGAAAATTCGAGATCCAGACCATCGTGGCTCGCAACGCGCTGCGGTCCGTGCTGAGCCTGTTCAGTGTGGCCCGTGAGGACACCGCGGTCTACACCTGTCACGCGGAGAACGCCTACGGGACGGACGAGCGGACGATCCGCCTGTGGGTTCTTGGTGAGTGGAGATTAAGGACTGCAAAGTGACCAAAAGTTATCAGAAGGGTCCCAATTTCATCGAGTAAAAACGACAATTTTGCCGAAGGATTAACTGTCTCTTCGAAAATGTGTCAATCGTTTTCAATCATCGTAGCTGACTACCGAAAAGGCCTCTGCCTTGCCTCGTCCCCTGTCCTATCTTGCCAATCTCATCAACATACTTATTGGTTTCCTCCATTATTTCCCAATTCCATCATCAATTTATTTAAAGTAAGTTGTGACGATGCGCAGTTAGATAACTATTTACAATACACATTCATATTTACTTTTCTTTTGATCATGTCGACTGTAAAAACTGCAGTGTTAAATTAACACCGGTGTGTTTTGTTTTAATTCAACCGCATCAGTACATTTTCCAAATCATCGTTATTTTTCATACCGCATGGGGAATAATGTTTGCAATATGTTAATTATCCTCAGAGCCACCGGAGCCGCCGAGCAATCTTAGCACTTTGGCCATCACGAGCCGGAGTGCCACCTTTGGTTGGCGACCTGAATTCGACGGGAACAGCCCCCTTACTGGCTTCACGCTTGAGTACAAGAACGGAAGTGGTAGGTTCTGGTTCCCATTGAAGTTTCCCCCCCCCCCTCAAAAAAAAAATTAAAACAAATCAAATAATATTGTGCCCTTTACAAATATTCAGGTAGTCTCTTGTCACACTGTTTCCTGATTGAGAGTGAAGTTTATCTGTATGGAAATAAAAAACAAACCTTGAGGTTTCAAGAAGAATAATAACTAGATTTATATAGCGCCAAATTACCAAAGGATGCAAGGTGCTTGAAGGGAACAGTACATGCACATTGTATATGAAAGAATGAGACAAACCAGCTTCTGTTTGGGGAAGAGGTGGGTCTTGAATCCTTTCATGAAGGATACAACAGAATCAGTGTTTCTGATGGAGACAGGCAGAGCATTCCATAAACGGGAGGCAGCAATGGAACATGTCCTGTCGCCGGAGGTTTCTACTGTAGAACAATAGTCTGAGTCTATTAACTCAAAGTTACTTAACAGATATACCTCCTACACTCAACCAAGTCCCTCCTGATACTTTTTTGCCTAACTCAAAACATCCTGGGCACCTCTCGCTCAAATAACGACTAATTGGTACAAAATTTCCATAGCAATTCTAGCATATTCTTTATTTTTGGTACTGCCTCATTTCGTCAAACATTATATCCCAAATATGTCCGGAAAATATTTGAAGATCATTCTGTAATTCTTTGTTCTCTGCAGATGCCTGGCAAGGTGGGCTGCCCACTGCGCATGTGCCAACCAACGTCACCAGGTTCCAGTGGACCATAGCCAAACTGCATCCTTACAACACGTACCACGTGCGCATCTACGCGTTCAACGCCATCGGCATCAGCGAGGCCAGCAGGGAAATACTGTTCACCACGGACGAAGAAGGTTTGTGGGGGCACATAGTGGTGGCACATAGTGGCACCTTAACGTTAATCAACAAAATCACGGCCTTAAATGTATACCATGCATGGTTCTCTACAGACGCCAAACTGTTAATCTCACACTTGGATTTGTAGAAATGTAGCCTACATTAGCTGGGATGTGTTCTGGGTCATTCTACAATCAGTTTATGGTAAACCTTTGAAAGCATCAGTCAACTGTGTTGTATAAAATCGGCTAAGTTAACACACCAAAGGGACATGGAATCAACATCTTGTGATAATATAGCTTTGAAGTGAAGTTTTAGATGTACGAAAAGTGTTAATAGGCTATGAGAATAATGCCTTTACGTCATGTTCTTGTTGTCAGTGAGTGTTACCCGTATAGATCCAGCTGTTATATGCCAACTTGCAGTCGGGCCTTTTTTAAAGCTGTCGTTTTACTTCCAAACCTTTTGCAGTTCCGTCCGGACCGCCTTTGAATATTGAGTTCGAGAGCCACACGTCACAGTCTATAACCATCACGTGGAGGGTAAGTTGGTCACGATATTGTTAAATTAAATTGGATCCTCCTGCAGTAGAAACAAAATTCAATCCAATGATATCCTGAATCGAGGAACGAAACAGCATTGTTTCCGTCCGAAAAAATTAAAGCGGAGAGAATTGAATTTTGTCGAGAGGTAGACAAAGTAATCATGCGTATCAGTACGGCAGATAGGTGATGGGATTGTACATTTGATGATACAAGAATGGCATTTGGCACACAGTCAGAGTATGTCATGAGAAAGATATTTGGCTGTAGGTCATCGCATATTTGTCCTTTGAAAAAAATACAGGTATAATAACAAGCAAGGACAGCCATTTTGGAAAAAAAAAGGAAATTGCTTGTTATTCTACCTATGTTTTTTGAAGGCGGATCTGCGATGGTCCTATAGCCAACAATCTTTATTAAGACATAGTCTGAGTGTGTGCCAAATGCCATGCTTGTATCATCAATGGCATTATCGACCAAATAATTCTCCTATCTGCCCAACTATATCCTTAAATCCCCTGGACGCCTCAAGCAAACTCGTGTTCAACATTGACAAAGAAGACATGTTGCCCTCCACGATTAACAGAAAACATTAGTTTGTAATTCTTTATCTTGAGTGTAACTTAAGTTTCTCGTTAATAATACACCCTTCTTTTTTATCTAAATCGATTTTAAACTGAAACACTTGTCCAAATAGTTTCGTAATAACTCCTCATGAGAATGACTTGAAATGCACTTATTTGGCACGTTAACGAACTTTCTTTCTTCTCAAAATTACCAAAATAGCCTTAAATGTTCAGCTGGTTTATACATTGTACTTGTTTACTACACCCTAGCAACCGCGTGCGGATCTGCAAAATGGCGTCCTGCTCGGATACCAGATCCGCTACAAGGACCGCGACTCGCCGTTCCAGACCATATCAATCCCCGTGGAGACTGGTTACATCGAGAGCTACACGCTGAAACACCTGAGGAAGTTTGGGGAATATACCATCCAGCTGGCCGGCTACAACCGCAAGGGCATGGGCCCCTGGTCGCCGGAGAGGAATATATTTACACTAGAAGACGGTGAGAAACTGGGGCTGAGAATATATCTCAATAAGGGAGAGAGAGAGAATGATGTCATTTGCGAGCTTCCTTTTAAAACTGTTACCCAATGCATCCTTTTAATGGGTATGGCCAGCATTAACCTGTGGCCAGCATGAAATGGCTTGACAAGGTTAAGACCATGTTAAGCTGATTTAAAGTATTTTCTTTAAGAGTTGGGGAAAAGCATACTCGAACTCAGAAATATCTTGTTCCAATTTGACAAAAAGCTGCAGAAAGCAGAAAATATTTGGAATTAAATGTGCTTCGAAAACTCATTTGAAAACAGTCACAATACAAGAACTGTTACACTTGACGTTTGGCAAGTAACCTGTTTTCACTAGGTAAATAATCTTCTGGCTGAACAAGTTTCTATGCTTAGCAACTGAATGAAATAGGCCTCTGGTGTTTTCCCGAAATATCAGACTAAAGGACAGGGTATATGATCTAGTTTCAGTGGTGTAGTCGAGTCCACCTCAACCGAGTCCGACCCGAGCCGAGTCCACGAAGGCTCGAGTCCGGCTGAAGTCCAAGTCCAAATTGTCAAGTCAGAGCCAAGTCAGAGTCCAGTCGCGCAAGGATTTTTATGGCAGAACACGTGCGCACACGAGTACACTGAGAATACAGTGACTGTCAAATTATTTTACAGCCTATAGTAAGGAATCTACAAAAAGATATTAACAGACGCGGAACCGTTTTTAAAACAATTTAAACTTTGTTTTCTCACGTGCAAATGAACTCGAGTCTGCACCCGAGTCTCCGTCGCTGACTAGTTTACTGGAAGCAAAGATATTAGGTTACACGGGAGGATTTTTTTTCTTGCAGTACCAAGCGAGCCACCCCGCACCGTAAACGCCATACCGACTGGGCCAACCAGCATCATAGTCATGTGGGACAGTCCCGCCTCCGAAGATTCACTCAACGGCATCCTGCAAGGGTATCGGATCTACTACGAGCCCGTCAGGGAGGACGAAGGTAGGCTATATCTGCATTTGTCTTTCGTTTGGGACAACTTGGGATAGGTTTCTTGGGATAGGATTCTTTGGGATAAATCCCAAGAATAAACTTATCTTTAAAGTGGTCTTTGGAAGAACATGGGTATTAGGTCGATCTTTCGATAGGTTTTAGGAGAAAGGGTCAGACATTACTGATCGAAAATTGTTGTTGTATTTTTTACTAATTACTGGTTTGGCGGATGCAGCTTTAACAGTAGTGTATTTTCTGCTAACAAACTTGAGCCCACAAACTTGTTGGGTTTTCTAGATGAAACTGATACGCAGGTCTACGAGACTCTTGACCTCACCGCGCACATCTACAATCTGCAGAAGTTCACCAACTACAGCGTGGAGGTGGTGGCGTACACGAGGGTAGGGGAAGGAGTGAGAAGCCCCATTAAGTACGTCCGAACACAGGAAGACCGTGAGTACACCAATTCCATGCTCAGACAAGTCTATGTGACGTTTGGTAGAAGTTTGTTCAACAATGTATACACATTTCACATTTTCTATATTATGGAAGGCCCAAACACTCAAGCTCATTTGATGTCATTTTCTTCTTCAAGATACCAATCCTTTGACCTGTTTCCATGGTTCCTCTTTCATATACCAGTTCCTGGTGCCCCTGCTGATATCAAGGCATATGCTGCCTCGCCTACCAGCGTCATGGTTGCTTGGTTACCGCCCCTCTCCATCAATGGCATCCTCCTGCACTATTACCTCAACGTGAAGTTTATGGAAGGAGAGAACGAGGTAGGCACTCCATTGTTGAAAGAGAGGCTCCTAGCTGCAGTGGTTCTTAAACAAATCCGTGTATGCCTAAATAGCCATTAAATTGTAAACGCTTAGCAGCCCAAATAGTTAGTTAGGATTTTTGTTGTTGCAAGGACAGCCTCGTTGCAGTGTTCCAAAATGGCGATTTCGTGGAAAGAGCTAGCTCCATTGTGAACTACAAAATTGATGTAATATCATAGGGAATATTGGATGAGTTTGGTAAGAAAATTAGTAGTGTTGTGGATACACAAAAAGACGAATATTGCAAAACTAAAAAGAGCAAAGCATCTTGTATTGCTTGTTTCGGTATGTTCTGGGTTTTCAAAATCTGGTGAAGTAATTCTGTTCATGGCAATATTCATTATTGAAGTGTGGTTATCAGTACAACAAAGCAGAAGATCTGAAAAGCTCTGAGAGTTTTGATTGGTGGGAGGGGGTACTTTGATCAATCGACGCTGGCTGAACATAGAATTAGCCATGCCAACGACAATTACGTTTTTACACCATATTAAGTTCGAAGCATTTAACATGTTTTTGTAATAATTATATTCCTGATGTATGAAGGAAAGCAAAGTGTTAAGTAACAGTCCGTTTGTTGGGGTCACAGGTCACCAGAGAGTTGGAACTTGACCCGGATGTACATCACTACATGGTCAACGACCTGGAGACCAATCACGAATACGACTTTTGGGTCCGGGGCAAGACCGTCATAGGGAAAGGGGAGTCTAGCCGCGTCGCTACAGAAATCCCCATGACTAGAGGTAATAATGGGAGCTTAATTGAGCATGTCAATTAACATAATGTCTTGTTAACGTTGCCTGTTGTCTTAAGACAAACCAACTCACTTGTTATCCCGGAGGTCACGGGCACAAGTATCACTGCAGTCAAGTTTCTAAATACTGATTGAAAAGTAAACCCGTTAGTGTTGTTTAATTGATGTTTTACTCTGTTTAAATTTCTGTATGATGCAATCTTTGGCTGTCGATTTTTTGCCAATGTACATCTTTCATTGTGATTCTACATTTGGCTGATCTGTGCCGTGATTTTGGTACAAAATGAGTGTTTTCTTGGTTGGTTCAAAAGCTAGGTAACTTCCTGTCCAAATATCAATACATTGTCTTTCTTTCATCTTGTTGCTCACTGTAGTTCCTGCTCGAGTCATGTCTTTCTCCAAGATGATAACCACGACCTGGAAGGATGACGTCACGATGGACTGCCTGGCCGTAGGGGAGCCAACGCCCACCATTGAGTGGAAAAGAAATCGGTAAAAAAAAACGTTTTGATCACAATTTGAGGAACTGCGGATTTTATTGCCTGGGAAGATGATATGTCACCCAAATTTTATCGGAGAACTAATCACAAGCACTTGCATATTGCATGTACATTGTGAGTGATAACTTATTCTCGCGAAGGAAATATTTCTGTGCTCAGCCTCGCAGCTGCAAATAGCTGGACTCTTGTTTAGGATAAAGACTTGTTGGATGCTTGATATTTTTCTCAGATTACGACTCTGGAGCACCTGTCTTTCTGAAAGTGTTTACCTGGCTCTAATTTCTCCGTCTGACACTTTTCGTCAGTGATCGTTGGCTTTTTGATTTCCAACGGCATGCGGTGGAACTCTCAAAACCCAAAAAGCGCACTCGATTCCGAGTTTCAGTTTTCGAGTTTAATGAAATATATCTCTACATAAGGTACTTACATTCAACAACAAAACACCAACAACATTTCAAATCCAAGTTGTTTCTGTGCTACCGAATTTCAGATCAGTTCTGGAGCAGAACGAGCGAATGCAAGTCCTCTCCAACGGCTCCCTGACGATCCGGAACGTCCAGCCATCCAACGCGGGCAACTACTCCTGCAGGGCGTCCAACATGTGGGGAGCACCTGACGAAATCACGGTGGCTCTGTACGTCGTAGGTAAGTCTGCGTTCCTTTGGGTTACGGGATCTCTAGGCACGAGGTCGATTCCACGTTGCATTTGAGTTAATCCCCAGCCTCCCTAAAGCGGTGCTCTTGTAGGTGGTGGGTAATCTCTGCGCCTTGCCTCTTGGAATGCCTGGTGATTTGTTTTGATCCCTTCCTGACTTTACAAAGCAAAATGGGATTAGATGCTGTCTTCCCAGTTGAATGTAGGCCTATGGTCACCGCACAATACTTCTAGCCTTTTCTTCTTCGTGTGTTTCAAAGGTTCTCCACTTGAGTTGATCCCAGAATGCACTGTTCGAACTTTGACCTATCACCTCCCCGTGACACGCATGCGTGCATGTAATCACTAGAAAGAACACACTCCCTCAGTAAACTTGCCCCACGTTCATAATAAGATAACCTTATATCCCATCCCAGTACATGTTCTGCATGAAAGGAATCACCGATCACCTGACTCATTCCCCATGTTTATTTTGACCTTTGACCTAACATTATTCAATGAGAACTCTTTGCACATGAATTGAGACCTTATGAATGTTCCGGATTATACGTAGTAGAATATCAAATTCTGCCATTAAGAAAACACTCCACTTTTTTGTCAATGAAACTGAAGTCAGATATATCAAAAGTTAAAGACAGGCCAGCCTCGGCACGAATTTTAGTGTCGTTGGCTAATTGGCTGATTTAAAAGAGCTCTGCCTCACTGTTGTACTCACTGTATCATGGATGGACAGCAGTAATTGTGGTAAACTATCTTGCTTGGGGTGATTTAAGCATGGTGATATTCTAGTCATTTTAAAACCGGCATTTGAAATGGAAGATTATGCACTTGCACTCCAATCCATTTTTACCGTTTTTATCAGAGCACTTTATAGGTCAAACCACGCCTTTTCCAAAAACAACCCAAGCCTTTTCCTTTTCTGGGCAGGAACAAAATGAGTAAGGGATGAAGTTGCATATATAATTAAAATGGTGCCCCTTTTCCATTATGCACTGCATGACCATGATAGTTAAAACCTATGTTTAACATGAAGAATTGATGATGTTTCTTTGTTATAATTATTTGTGCCATTTTAGATACAATGTCATTGTTAAGTCCCCGAGAGTGTGTAGTGTCGTTTTGGAAAGTTTGAAGATGTTGACTTCTCTGTCCCGCAATGTTAACAGTTGATTGTTTTAATGTGTATGTTCTTGATTATGTTTCCATGATGTGATGTCAATTGTTGAACTAGAGGAAACAGAAAATTAAAAAAAATAAAAAGAGATATTTCTGTACTTTCCTCGAAGAACCAATAAATCTTTCGATCATGAAGTTTTTGATGATTCTTTTGTTGAAGACACTTTTATGGTTTGCGTTTATGTTTATTTTGCCCGACTACTGTCGTTTGTTAGTCGTTAATGTTGTCTAGTGTATTCTAATGTTGTTAGTTACATCATGTCCTTTGTTTCGTCAGTAACTGAATGAAACCTCTTCTTTTTTGTTTCCCGCCTGATCTGCATGTATTTGCATACATTAACTGAAACGATTTTGTTACCCTGATGACGTAATGCACGCAATAGTCCGTCGGCCAATCGGATGTAAGTACATCGTGACGCACGGCACGATACTCGTCATGCTTTGGGCATTAAAGAATGTATATGTAACGCTTTATATCACAGTCATAACATTCGACGATTAGCATGCATGTATATTTATTGTTTACGATGAAGGCTTGTTGATGGTGCATGATTTAGACTAGATGGTGATAGTGTTTCTGTGATGTTGTTTCATGTAGTTGACTTAATGATCAAAGTAAATTCTTTCGAAACTTCGTCTGGCTGTTTTTCGCATTTCGACATAGAAAAATAATGAACCGCCAATTTAAGGTTTTTCAGCCACAACACAGATTTCGTAAAGACGTTGGTGGAGCCACTTTAAAGCTCTAAAATACACACAAGTGCATATTGTGTATTAAAATACAGTTTTTAAAGTGCTTTATATGTTGTGTATTTTATGCATCATTTTACCAGCTTCAATTGAGGTGTTACTGTATTTTCGTGATGCCAAATTTGTTGCGTACTAACCGGTTATTCAAACAAAGCACTGGATTTGGTGAAATTATTGTTCGTTAGATGTGAAAGAGCAATTGGTGGAATGTGGCTTTCTGTAGAGTTATATGAGATCTGAATACGCAATGGTCATATTTGTGCCACTCCTGACACGAACATATATGAAGCTTCAACTAGAAAATTCGTTTTCCGTAAAAGAAAGAAAGAAAGGATCAGACTAAGGAAAGGTACAATGATGGCCATGGCGTGGGGAACGTCTTTACTGTATTTGTAGCCCTTTTCGGTGACATTGGGAGTAGTACCTTCTTTGGAATGAGTTTCACGAATCAAATGGTGTTAATCTTTTGATGAGGGAAAAGTTAACCTGAAACAAATTAAACCTTTTTCCATATGATATTCTGGAAGACATAAAGTGAGATTCGCATTCTCAATCCCCGTCTTCCTTGGAATTTGAATGACCGTGCCGGGCGTTTTGATCAAAATCGAAGACTGAATTTATTCTCGTACCATTTCAAAAAAATCAATTTGTGGCTAATTAGGCCCCACCTTTGATCAGACTTCAGAAATGATATCATTCGTGAAACCCATTCTGACTTCAGCACCAGAAACACCAATCCCCGAAAGTGATTATTGAAATACACCCCGATTCTTGGAGTTGTGGGAACTTGGGTGACCTATTTCAAAGTTACATTTAGTTGGGATGTTTGGATGATAAAATAATTTACTTTTGGTTCTAGGCCTGTCTTGTGGGTAAGTATGCATGTCAGGTAACTTTTAATATATCTCGGTGCACAGTATGTTGGTAGAATGCGTATAGACTTTTATTGTGTAGTATTGATATTACTGGCATCATTAATGCCATCCAACTGGAAATAATGTTGTTACTTGCACAAATACATAGCCACATGTTTGATCATTCCAGAAAATTGAAACACGTGGCGTTGGAACGTAAGTGTTTGAAAAATCGCAAAAGAGGTACCAAACAAAATACAGGGCGAGTCAGAAAGATTGGTACTCGATTTCTCAAAAAAGAAATAACTTTTTTTTTTAAACAGGGGGTCAAAATAGTACATGATAGGAAATTCCTATTAATCAGTTGTCATCTGGTGAAATTGACAACGCGATACGACAAAATGTCTGAAAGTTACAATGTTTCGAAAACAAATAGATGAAAACAAAGTTCTCCACGGAATACACAATGTGCAAAGACATGCTGGTTTTTACTACAGGCTGGTTGTGAATGACGTACGCACATAAACGGAATCATCAATCATTCTCATTCATGTGAAAGGAATAGCAAAATGAGATTGAAATGGTTTCAGAAAACTGTATTTATGTCAAATGTTTGTAATCTATCAGCTCTGCAATAATCAGAAACATTGTTCAATAAACAATGCGATATTCAAAGTCTGACATTTAAGTCTGATTCAGTTATCCGTAGAAACAGATAGATTTTCATGAATTTTTGGGGGAAAACTATGTATTTCCTGAACCACACAATCCAAATTGATGAAACAAAACTAGATGATTGTTAAAACCTTGTAGTTTGTGTTTCTTTCTTTAAATTGCTTTATACTTGTCTTTAAGTTGACGGGAAAAAAACCTTTTTACAGCACACCCAACTGTCTGACTCGCCCTGTTTTCCAAGCAGCGTCTTGGAACTTTAATGAGAGACACAGGGGAATTTATTTTTGTGCTGCTTTGAGTTATTAATGCTGGTTTTACATGATTCTCCCCTAGCTCCCCCGTATGCACCCATTCTGTCGGTGGGTGCTCGGACGGCCAACTCGATTGAGATCAACTGGCGGTCGGGAGGAAACGGCGGAAGTCCGATACTGGGTAAGTCTTCGGAATGATGAGTCAAACGTTTTGGCCGAGTACACTAATCGTTACCAGGCAAGTTAACCTTAGACATGCCTCCTTATAAGGAGAAGACATAGTTATTTTTTTTTCAAATAGTTATTTTGTCAATATTAAGTTGTACACAAAGTTTGGCCAGGTAGTGCAAAGTTTTAGTTCATTTAACCGATTTTGTGTTGTGTTGTGTACATATAGCTTTATTTATGTAATCCTTAAACAAATCCTAAGAAAACACTTGTATTTGTAAATATTAATGTTAGTCGTATGTTTCACCAATGTTCGTTTTCCTGATTCGATTTACTTTGCTCAACACTATTTAATAATATTTGATGTATACAGGGCCAAAATGGAAACCAATTTTAAAGTGTTTGGGTATATACCCTGGGTAAAGAAATGGAATAAATAGAAAAACGAAACATCTAAGAACGAGGGATTTGCACAAATGTAATTACTGCGCTGAGGTTATTATCTACTTAACTGTTATCTCTGGCGATTTAATTAGCAGCATTATGTTTGAACTTTTGAATTCAAGGCGTAACATGCAACGACAACAAAACGGATGTACACTGTAAACTAATGCTCAATACAGGTAATCAACTTGTTCCTTAATTGTTATCCGTGAAACACTCTTTTCTCGACGTGTTTTAGCATATCAATTGAACTTCAAGAGGGAGCATGAGCAATCATGGACGCGGGTCAACATCAACTCCACGCTAAGGAGCTACCGGGTCACCGATGTCCTCTGCGGGACACCGTACACGTTTTTCATGACTGCCGAGAACAAACTTGGGGTGGGCAAGCCGAGTGAGGAGCGGGAGGTGCGAACGACGGGAGAAAGTAAGTTATGTTATACTGTGTATCAACCAAAATCCACCTGCCACAGGCGGATTTGCGGTAACCATTGTTTTACACCACCCTCGCGTGAATGGTGTGGCCATTTGAGGGGCCCATACACTGGATACACTGCAATTCTTGTAATTTGTATTCCATTTATAAATTGTATTTGTAATCTTCATGTTGCCATTTTAAGGGCGTTTTTTGGTGCCTTTTGGTGTATGCTAATACGAATTTCCACATTCATGAGCAAAATTGTGAGGCCAATTCAATGCAGAAATTTTAGATTCACATCTGCTTCAATTCGGTAAAAAAAGTCACCAGCATTTAAGGGCTTTGCTGTGAATGTTTTTCTGCTTTCTGTGGATCATTATCGTTGCAGTATATGACAGTATGACTGTGAGAAAACAGTCGTGCACAAATGTTTTCAAGAAGCAGGATTTTAAATTTACAATTTGAAGAGAAAAAAGCCTAACCTAAAGAGTGTGTTCCTGTATTGAAATCACAGCAACAACGCCCTCAGTTATCAGGAAAAGCGTGAAACATTTTGAATGTTTATAAAAGTGCCCTTTGCAAATGACCAGTGGAAAACGTGCTTCCGGGAAACTTTAAACAGGAATGGTGTATCTGTAACAAATGAGCACAACACTAAGTGAAACACAAACCTGGAAGTATTATATAGGTTGGTTTCTATGACCAAACAGGTAACAGCGTTTACGGTATTGCTTGATATTGATGGGGTTTTTTTCGGATTGTCATTTTCAGTTCCCATACCGCCCTCAACCGACAAGATTGCTCCGTACTCAAACGCAACCAGCATTACCTTAGTCCTGAGTAGCTGGGGCACCGGCGGATGCCCGATCCGTTCCTACAGCATCCAGTACCAGCACTTCGGAGACGAGAACTGGGTACCAGTCTCCAGTAACATACCGCCCTCCACGGCCAGGTACATGGTGGAGGAGTTGCACCCAGTGTCGTGGTACGTGTTTCGGGTCACGGCCGTCAACGGCGCCGGGCCGAGCGTGTACGAGTTCCGCATAGCCACAACTGCCTACGGGGGAGGTAAGTTGCGAGGTTTATAAAACTGTCAATCTAATAAGGAACATGTCTTCGAATTTTCAATTTATTTGGATTTTTTCTTCCATTACATTACAGATGCTTTAATTTTCCTGCTTTTTTATTTGACCTTCTCGATCCACTGAGAGAGTCTTTAATTTTTCTGTCTGTTCTCTAAATGCAATTTCATATTTGGCAGCTTTCATTTCAAGGAAAAGTTGATAAAACCCAATAACCTCGTCACATTTTGTCATATTTATGTTTTTTGAGCCTGTAAAATCATTACAGGATTATTCACTTAGCCCGGCTCTTCTTTAAAGCCTACTCAGAACTGAACATGAATTTTGAACCGCTAAGTAAAGTTATAAAATTACATTTCATATTTGAAAATGATTGGCCAATTTGAATTGGCTGTGTCTTATGTGCATGTAATAGACTGGGATGAGTTAATTTCAAAATGAGAAAACGACAGTTGGTTTGTATCTTATGAAAAACAACACATTGATATTGTTATTCTGTTCTACATGGGCTCTTAGAATTAGCTAGGTTACTTAAGAACTTAGAATCATTTGCAATATTCCAAAGTAACCTACCGAATTATTATCAAAACGCTTACTTGGATTAAAGATCCTATACTGCTCCACAAAACGTGAAGTTATTCCGTCTGGCTTGTCATTTAGAAAACAAAAAACACGAACTGCAGGTGATTTCCAACGATCAAGTCACATGCGTTCTTTCAGAAAAACGAAAACAATTCACACACATCCCTATGTGATTTGTTTTCGTGATCTGTGGACAGGATTTTAAAGCTTGGGTTGTGTTCAACTTGAAAAGTACATGCGTGATTTAAATGATTCTTGTACTAAAAGAAAGCTTATGGACTGAGCTTTCACGTCCTAGATTTTGAAAGTGCTACATGTAGAACTTCACTAAAAAAATTGGTCCCGACATTTGGATTTCTATTTTTTTTACTCATACCGTATGCCTTTAAAGACTAGCCTATTCATAACATTCACTACCAATCCTAGGTACTGCTGCACCCATCGATGTCAAAGTGGACCAGAGCACCGACGACAACCAGCTCCTGTTCTACGAGAACCCTCTGCTCTTCGGCCCGGTCCTGGGCGGCATCACCCTGCTGCTCATCATCCTCTTCATCGGTCTCTTCGTCTTTAGCTCCCGCAAGCACCGCAAGGCCGTGCTGAAGAAGGCGGCCGTCAAGGAGGCCGAGACCACGCGACTGGAGAATAACAATTTCCCCACCAAGTATGCACTACTTTCATCACATTATGTCGTATTGTCGTATTTGACCATCTCGCGCCTACCACATCAATAGACCATTATCATGTTGCAGCCATTTGAGTTTTTTCCCATTCAAATCAATGTAACCAAAGCAAGGCTGAAAGGAAAAATAGTCTGGTTCCTTCTTGCACAAAAACAATATATATCAGTACTGTTGTTGGATGCAGGGAACATGACTGAAAATAGTGGAAGCATGATATTAAGGTCTATTGCAGCAAATCAAGAGTCTCCTTTACCAAAACTAGGACCTTGCCATCTCCATCCTATTGCCTCATTTGATGTTTTCATGATAGTTCCTGTTATAAACACCGCCACAAAAAGGTCCACACTCATTGGAGCGGTCATAATTTTAAATCTGATCCTCTTAAGATGTCAATATATATAACCTTTGTGGAATTTTATAAGCTACCTTTTGATACACCGTTTGCTACCAAAGACAGTAAATCGTACAAGATTGACAACGGTTTATGAAAAATGATGCAGTTTGAAAAGTTTGCATAACGATCATATTCAAAATTATGGCCCCTCCAATGAGTGTGGATTTTCGTTTTTGCGGTATTTAGTTCACTTATCTTGACAAAAAAATGAACTCAATCGATGAGAGTAAATCCAGCTTAATAAAACCCCAGCTTCCAACCCAATCCAATAAACAAAATTAAAATTAGCATTCAAACCGAGGTTTTGATTGTTAAGCCATTGTATGAATTGAGGACATATTTGTTTGATTCCTCTCAGCATTCACCGGGGCCCTCGGTTTCAGTGGGCCCTCGGTTTCAATATCATTTCAAATTCGTCTATCCGATCCAACCGAAAACTATCTATTCAATCCAAACACTTTACAACTCAGCATTAACCTATAGCCTACAATAATTCCAGCTTTTCTGTCCAAGAAACACATCTTAGTATAACCGTGTTTTTTATTAAAATTCGGCAGTTTTACACAAACGACGCGACCGTTAACATAATATACTTTTCTTTCTTATTTTTAGTGGCCGGAGATATTTCCGCACGATGGAGGGCGCACTAGCATCCGAGCAGGAGCCATTCTTGAACGGGGGCGTGGCCCCAATCAACAACCTGAGCAGCATTACTGGGGCGACGCCCTGGGTTTTCAACAGCAACTCTGACTTCGGTAGGAATCTTCAAACGGAGTCTCAGTTTTCTTTTGTCAAAATTTAGTTAACCTTTTTGCATGTTTCTTCCTTGCCTGTCCAAAAACAAGACTAAATCTTGTGCCACCGAAATCAAGCACAAGAGGTTATAGTCATCGAATATTTTGTTTCCCGCAGATGTTGAGGTTCTAGAGGGCGCCGTCGGAGGTGACCCCTACTTGACCTACAATCCCGACGACTCGTCGGATGTGCTCTTCCCAAGCATGAGTACCTTCCGATCCACGGGGTCCGATGACGTCAGCCTTGGCGACCTGGGACCGCATGGTGGCGCTGCAGCCGGCGGCGACAGACTGTACGACCTGCCGCCTGATTCTGAATACATAGGTATTAAAAATTGATGAAGAAAACACAGTGGCGTTAATGTCATGCTCTTCTATATTTGATGACTGGCCTTTTAAAATTGAACCTATTCGAGTGTCGCTTTGTTCATAAGTGGACTCAACTTGAAATCAATTTGTTGTGTACATCATTTCACTTGGCCGGCCCATCAAACTTCAATTTGATCCATAATCTGTTGAAAATCTCGCCGCTATTGAAAACTCTGGTAGGTGTGTACATATTAACTCACACATGGTCTTAGGTATGGAGCTTGTCCAAAAAGTGGTGCGGCGACGCGGCTTTTTTTTTTTTACCCGACTTTTTTGCTTCAAATGTCGGCTGATGACTTCAAATGGTGCCCGACTAAACTTAGTGCAAATATATGGGAGTCCAGAGAGGCCACATGAGGCTTATTCTCGATCATAACCCCATCTAAAAACACGTTGAAATTGCACAGCAGCAGAATTCCAGTCAAACCAGTGAGTTTGGTGGTTTTGAGACATCATCTTTCATTGAAAAAAAAACTTTTTCATTTTGCCGACGCGCATGGCTACGGCGATGCGCGCGCATACCAGAAACCGGAGACTTTTTTTTTTGGCCTTAGATTAGTTCATGCATTTTTAACACAAATCATAGCAATTTTTTTGGTTAAGATTTGGGACTGCAATTGATTCCCGCCTGTCGGGAACACGTCGCAGAGGTTGAAATCTTTCCACTCTTGTGATTGTTGATTTTTTTTAGCACCAACTGTTGCCAACCGTCTTAATATCGTCGCAGTTACACTCAGGTCGCACAAAAATCGGCGAGTAGTTTGTTCCCGACGGTCTTAGCTCAGGCAAAGCTACAATCCTGGCTAAATCTCGCTGGGCCCCTAAACCCCCCAGCCCCCGCTCAATGTCACTCATGACGCGGTCTGTGCTCCATCAGCTGGCGAGAACAACTTTGACCGGGAGAGTGGGGGAGTGGGTGACCTTGTGTCCCAACCATTTTGGCCCGGTGTCACGGTCTCACTTCTCCGGCGTGCTAGCTTCTCCGGGTGGATTCGGCGGATAATTGAGCACGTTACAGTGCACGTTACATGAGCACGATTCATGCTCATGTGTCCACTGTGCTTACTTTTCCTAGGGCTGTATTCTGAAGTCTACCAAGCCCATTAATAACACAGTGAGGGACAGCCAAGAATGTGTTATGTAACACTTCCTGTGGGTCAAGTCATTCCATGGTCTTGCAAGCATTCTGATTTGTGTTCCCAGCGTACGTCATGCATGTGTGTGTGTTCATGGAGGAATAATTAAGAACGAACTCCTTGGTCCGTGTTCCTTGCTCGTTCGTGGTCCATTTTGTCTTTATTATTGCAACCATGGCTTAAAATAAATGTGCATTTCAAGTCTTTTTTGTTATTGGGAGTTAATAGTGCGTGCCACGAAAATTCTGGATTGGACTGGTACCCTGTAACCATTCATACAAATAAGATCTTACGTGCACAAGTACAACCCCGAAGAACTCAGCACACTAATACAGCGACGAAAATGTTCACTACTGCGCAATTTTGTGCATGCGTGTTGAAGCGAAATTTCCCTTTTGGAGAAGCTAGCACGCCGGAGAAGTGAGACCGTGACACCGGATTGCAGATCCTGAAAAGTCAGATCGTTGAGGGTACCTTAAACCTGATTCGTATTTTGTGAGGTGGCTTTATAAAACCAAATGAAATCCGTATGCTAGGATTTGTTGTTTTTCCTTTCCTTTTCAAAGTTGCCCCTGGTAATCGTGCGTCCATGTCCTCCAGTCACGACTACGCATGCCTAGACGACATCCGACCCCACATGGTTCCCGCCGTGCCTAATCGCCCGCAGAATGTGTACTGCGGGACACCAGCGGGGACAACCCGCCAAACTCCTCCCCACACGCCGGGCGGTGCCTCCCACGGTAGAAGACGAGGTAAAAAAAAACAACCAAATATCATTCTTAAAGGGTCCATGAAACGATTTATTCTGAGGAACACATTTTGTGCAACATTATACTCCTCTTAAATGTATGAAAACTTGAATTTGACTTCCCTTTTTGTTTAATTTTTATTAAGAAGTGCACTTCTTGAAACATTAAAAAATATTCCATGCTTCCCGGACAACAGACTGAGGGAAGACATTTTCAGTTGAGGGGTTTTCAATTCAAATTGTGAACCAAACATTTGCTCATTAAAAAAAAACTTTAAGATTAAGGGTTGCTCATTGGCTTACTGCCATGTACTTCAAACCAACGAATCACCATAGAAAAGACAATTTACGGCAGCAAAACATCCAAAATTCCAGTAATTTTTTTGTGCTGTAACATTGAGGCTTCTGCTCGGAATGACATCACAGTTATTGCTCATGAATATGGACATTCGCATTAGCATTTTAAAAAAATGTACCAAAACAAACATTGAAAATAAGGTTTAATGGGAAAGAAAGTTACATTTCCAAGGATTGCATTTAAAAAAATGACATTGCATGGGCCCTTTCAGGCAAACACTTGTATAAAACATTATGTTAGAAGAAACTATGATTTAGGAGCACAACCACCTAATAGTGTTGATAATATATTTTTCAATTAACGATAAATTTCATCTCAAGTTGTTCATTAACAAATATCATGCCAACAAAAGAGCTTCTTGATTAAAGATTAATTTGTGTCTACAACACTTCCATTTTGTGATTTTATAATATTTCTTGGTTTTTCTTTAGTCACGTCCAAGCGAGGCAGTCAAGCCTCCATCTGCACCACCGCCTCCGTGAGCGAGGAGCTGGCCTCGGCCTACGAGAACGCCATCCAGATCGAGCGGGCTCGCAGACGCCGCCCTCCCTCGGTTACCTCCCCGAGCGCATTGTCGCACCCGGAGAACTACGACTACTCTACGGCCAGCGACATCGAGGCCGGCATACGGCACTTCACAGCCTCCCCGCCCCTCCCGTCCGTGCCGGAGAGGTCGGACAGCTACATTCCGCACCGTACTGTGTCGTACGTCAAAGAGGGTGAGAACAATATTGACAGCTCAATTCAGTTACTTTCAGAGGTTACTTTTATTCAGTTGTTTTTCATACAGGGCGGGTCAATAAGAAAGTGTCCGAATTTGAAAAACATTTTAAAATATTTGGCTTACTCCATTTCAAAAAAATAGGAATAAAGTACACCTTGTTACTCTGACAATTTCACGCATTTTGCATACTCTATTCCAGGGTTATATTTCAATAAAAAAGATCATAAAACTGGGCTGACCACCACCGATCATTTACCGTTCTACGAACTGATGAATGCCTGTTGGGTACAATGAAACATGGACGTTTTCCCACCTCGATGATTGAACGAGAACTGGCGAAGGAAAATATGCAACAATCGCCATCAATATTTAAGAAAAAAAAGTTAACTTGTGCCTCATACTCAAAACACAAAATCTGACAGTAAAAATAATGTTTCTGTCTTGATTTCAACATGAAAATTTTATTTGCGTTCGAATGCCTGTGTGTAATCTATTATTCTTACTCAGCTCAATAGCACCCAATGGCATTCCGTGGACAGCTATAAAAATGGTTTCTCTTAGTAAAACATGCATATTATCTGATTGCATGGATCAATTTCAGTAATTCTTTTTTCAGATGAGTGGACGAACATGCGCTTTTAAGAAATACTTCATTGGTGTATCAAATTTGATTGGTGTATCTCTTTTATCCGGGTCACTTTCGTTTTGACTCGCCCAGTAGGCACTCAGGTTTGCTAAACACAGAAAGGCTTGATAACGACAATATATTACCAACTGAACATTTGGAAAGCAATATCGAATGACATCCCATTCGACTCAGTGAGTCCATAGGTGTCGCCAGAACAGTTTAAATGGGGGTCGTGACAAACCAACGCCTCTGCGCGGTCCCTCGTCGTAGAGGATCACAACATCTGCCTCAATGCCCCATAGAAATGTTTTTCAAGACGGAGAGCATCGGGGTGTACGTAATCCTGCAGGTGTTGGTACTGAAATCGTGTGGCTGAAAAGAGCCGTTCGGTCTTCATTGGATAATCGACAGCTGAAGGAGTTTTTTGGGTTTATATTTATGGGTTGACCTTTGCAAACTTAATAATATGAGCAATGGAATGTAGCGAGAGAAGAAAACAAGTTTATTCTCACCCACAATCTTCTACTTTCTACTATTTTACACTTTCCTTTGACATGTAATATCATCACTGGTCGTCGATATTTATCAGCACGAGATTTTCCTCAAAAAAGAAAACCTCAATGCATGTTCTCAGGTTCCTTATTGCCAAGATGAAAACGCCACTTTGCTGAAGGAACACATTTTTTAAGAGGAACACTTTCGGTGAATGAGGGTCCAAGGTGAAACAACAAATCCAGTTGAAACCAGTTCCAGTGGAATTTGCTTTGAGCTGGTTTTGATCTGGCTTTCATTCATTCGTTCATTCATATTTATTTCCACTTAATCATTTTGAAGGGAAAACGTTTAGACAAAAACAAAATAAACGGATAAGATCAAGCAGTGGGCTTCTTCAAAAAGCAAGCTTGTCAAGTGGAGAAGTCTATTATGTGTAGCACAAAAATATATATCATGATAGATAATAATTACATTACTATTTACACAACGATTAGGTTTAACTGGTTACTGGTTAAACACCAGTTATATACAGTTTATACCAGTTCAAACCCGTCACCAATTTCCAGCTAAACTAGGGCCAGTTGAAACCCGTTGAACTAGTTGCAACTGGAATTTGCACCTTGGGGTTTCCTAGATGGTTATTGTGACACAGATCGACAATTGATCAATGCTCATTGTTCACTGCCTGTCTGATTATAAAGTAGAAACAGAAGCTATTCTCTTGTTGTACAATCTCTTAGTAAAACCAATCTTTCTTCCTCTAGGTGCCCGGCCTAGGGAGTACAATCGCCGGGTCAGCACCACCTCTCCCCACCCGAGCGAGACCAGCGAGTCGGAGCAGGACCGGGGCCGGTTCCACGCCCAGGTGTACCGGCCGTCCCGCTACAAGGCCAACAGACGGGGCAGGAAAGGTTACATGGCCTCCAGGCCGGTGATCAGAGCCAGCAGGGGACCCGCGAGGAGACAGCGACAGTAAGTTGCTTTTTGCCCACGGGATGTTAGAATTGAAGTCACCGTCCGCCATATTACAATTCCAAGATCAACAGATTTGTTAAGAAAAACAGCTAATTTTTATTGGCATGTACACTTTTTACTCAACGAATTATTTGTTTGTTAAAAAAAATGAAAACAACATATCTTTTTCATAAAGACGAATCCATTATAATTATTTTGAATAATGTGAGTGGTTGAAACTGGTCCCTCCCCACATTCGAATGGGGGGGGGGGATTGGGAACCAGCGCGTAGCTTCACTATGGCCAACGAGCTATCCAGATTAAGTGGTTGGCTAAGAGTTGCCGCTTCGTGACGCATGGTACGCTTGAACGTCATCGGCACATGAAACGTCGCCGTAATTGGTTCCCGGTTGTACATTGCAATACGTGCGGCTGTTGATAACCGACGATAGGTACAAATAGTCAGAGAAGTGTAAGTGTCAGTTTTAACCAACTCGGTTTTAAGCTGTACTTATTACCAGTATTGTAGTACTCGTACTCGTACTTGTTTTGGTACTCGTACTTGTACTTTTTTTGGTACTCGTACTCGTACTCATGAAAATTTATTCGTACTCGTACTTGCAAGAACAAAATTATCCGTACTTGCACTCGTACTTGTACTCCAGTACTTTTTTTTTAGTACTCGTACTCGTACTAATGAAAATGTACTCGTATTCGTGTTCTCAAGAGAAAATATTACCCGTACTCGTACTCGTACTAATGACAAAATCCTCGTGCTTGTACTCTTGCAAATTTCTTCTGCAAGAATTTAAAACAATTTTTGAGCTACAATAACATGCAAGAAAAGAACCAGATTTATACTGTTTGGAAGGCTTCTGCATTTTGTTTAATGCCTAGTTCGACAGCAAAAATCCCTTGAAAACACGTGACTCATTGAAATTTGGTCCTACATTTTGAAAGTCCTCGTAATTGTACTCGTACTCCTACTCAAATACATTTGTTGGTACTTGTGCTAAATCTTATGAATAAGTAATGCGGTACCCGCTGCTATGTATATCAGATTCGAACCAGCCAAGCGATGGTCGAGTGGTCGGTGGTAAGATTTCTGCACTAGAAAGCAGGAGGTCGTGGGTTCGGTCCCACCCGAGTGAATTTTCCAACTTTCACTCGTCGGTGAAGGGCAAAACCTAAAAATACTTGTACTATACTCATGGAAGCAAAATCGCCTTGTACTTGTACTCATAACAAATAACTCGTACTCGTACTACTCGTCTACAACAATGCCTAGGCCTAATACTATGCAAACAATCTGATTTCAAAGCAATACGAAACACTACTAAACCATGGTATCTATACAAAAAGTAGGGGTCGGAAGTGGGAAAAAAAATACGAATCCACATTATCCACTTTTGAGATGGCCTCTTCGCTTGAATAACCCCTTGGAAGCTATTATTTACGGCTGATTTCAGCGGTAAGATAGTGCCCCTTTCCACCTGCCCCCACCTATCCCATTTGGCTAAGATTTCACGTCAAGAATCTGTACTCAAAAGCACTTTCCCCGAAGCAGAGGGCGATTGTCCACACTTTGAGTGGCGTGTTGATTTAATATCGACTTTTGCAGGGAAAGGCCTTTCAATATATAAAAAAAAAACACCACTGCATCCTCGTAGTGAAAGCTTAACTGGATTTTGTACGCGTATTAGCTCCACGCCGGATTTCGTGGGTTGTTGGCGCGGATTATTGAATTAGTTAAGCGTCATTGATTTCAGATGTTTTTTTTTTACTGCCATTCAAAGACAGTTTAGAAAAGAAAACAACTGACCTCTCGGTTATGTGTTCAATTTGAGAAATTGAAGAAACTTGCTCTCACATTCAACCATTTTTGTTCGACTACCGGTACGACGTTTAACACGAGAAAAGCTCAAGGTAAATCCAAAATTCAAAGAAGGTTTAATTAAAATCCAACCAAAAGCGGCCTCTTCGTTCAAGCTAATCATCCTAGTTGTTGGCGCTTTCAACACCTGTTTTGATACTGATTGCAGAAGTAATCAGCTCCATATTTGAAAACTGGGTCGATGTTAATATAGAAGAGTTATTAAGCTGGCAAGGGTTTGTTGGATTGTCTATACGGTGATCATGGTGATGAAAGGGAGGTTTGTGATGGAAGTCATGATTGTAATTATGGTGATGAAAGTCACGATTGTGATCATGGTGATAAAAGTGATGATTGTGATTACGGTGATGAAAAGCATGATTGTGAATGTGTTAATGAAAGTCATGATTGTGATAATGGTGATGAAAGTCATGATTGTGATTATGGCGATGAAAGTCACGATTGTGATAATGGTGATTAAAGTCATGACTGTGATTTTAGTGATGAAACTCATAATTGTGATTATGGCGATGAAAGTCATGATTGTGATCATGGTGATAAAAGTCATCGTGATTATGGCGATGAAACTCATGATTGTGATTATGGTGATGAAAGTCGTGATTGTGATTGTGGTAATGAAGGTCCTGATTGTGATTATGGTGATGAAAGTCATGATTGTGATCATGGTGATAAAAGCCATGACTGTGATTGTGGTGACGAAAGTCATGATTGTGATTGTGGTAATGAAAGTCGTGATTGTGATTGTGGTAATGAAGGTGCTGATTGTGATTATGGTGATGAAAGTCATGATTGTGATCATGGTGATAAAAGCCATGACTGTGATTGTGGTGACGAAAGTCATGATTGTGATTGTGGTAATGAAGGTTCTGATTGTGATTATGCTGATGAAAGTCATGATTATGATCATGGTGATAAAATCCATGATTGTGATTGTGGTGACGAAAGTCATGATTGTGATTATGGTGATGAAAGTCATGATTGTGATTATGGTGATGAAAGTCATGATTGTGATTATGATGATGAAAGTAATGACTGTTATTATGGTGATGAAAGTCATGATTGTGATTATGTTGATGAAAGTCATGATTGTGATTAAGGTGATGAAAGTCATGATTCTGTTTATGGTGATGAAAGTCATGATTATGATTATGGTGATGAAAGTCATGATTGTGATTATGGTGATGAAAGTCATGATTGTGATTATGGTGTGACGTTGATGTACACTGAGTCAGCCTGATGGAAGGAAAATGTCATTTTACCATGAATTAAAAAGTGGACCTTTTCATGTCTAATAAACAGTTGATTACCGAGTCCATAACCTACTTTCACTTGTGAATTAGACTTGTGTCAGCCTGACCTTGCCAAAAATATGATTTCATTGATCGTGTAAAACTCAAATGTCAATCGCGAGGAAAAACAGTGGACCTGCGGACGATTGTTCTGGGGTGTGTTTTTTTTGGGGGGAGGGGGCTTTACCCCCCCCCCCCCCAAAAAAAAAATCCCCCCACCCCCCCCCCCCCCCCCCCCCCCCCCCCCACCCTCTGCCTACGGGCATGTGGGTGACATTGCTCTTTTCAAACTTTCGTCCTTAAAAGAGAAGAAACCAATAGTCACATGTATTGTCTGGACATCTAACCGTAGATTCGACAGCCGCAGCAGCACGCCCAGCTCGAGTTCGCCGGATTTCAGCGGATCGCGGCGTCAGATCGGCGTGCGGCACGACCCGTCCAGCCCGTCCGAGGGGTACATCTCGCTCCCCTACGACAGCTTCAGCGCAGCCCCTAGCGGCGTGACGGACAGTGACACGGAGCCGAGATGGAAGGGGTACCATTACAGGCGGAAACCACGGGAAAAGGGTGAGCGAAATAAATATATTCCCAATTTTTGTGTGTGTATGTGTTTTCACTGACCAAGTTGCTCCAAACCAGTGTTAAACTTAGCAGCATATATTAGGAGGCTCTGAATCCTGGCCAATTAAAAACATAATCGATCTTGGTAGTTTAGATTTATATGTTAGACCTAAGATTTAACAAAATGTGAAAGTACAAATGTACAGTTTTATATTTGGGTTTTTCGATAAATTGTGGGTCTAAGGTGTGACATTTCTGCAGTCCCTGTTAGGTAGTTTGTAATTTGCTACTCAAGTATCATTAAAACTGACCTAAACAAGTATGTTATTCGTTGGGGAGGTAGTGTGCTCATCACTCTCGGGAAAGACTGCATTATGAGGAGTGCAACAGAATTATAAAATCATAAGTGTCATAACAGGGACAGAAAACAAAGTGGACCCCATTTTATATAATGACCAATTTAGACATGACAAAAACGATGGAACAGTCTGTGGTTTCATTATTGATTCTGGTTGTATGTTTTGCTCGTATTGTGGGAGTATTACTCACACCAGTGTGCATTTGGGCTATTGTTCTCGAATCGAAGTCTTTAATCAATGAAACTTCATTTTTTTGGCTTAATTTGTAAGGTTCCATGAGCGAGCCCGAGCGATGGTTCGCCAAGAAGCCGCCCCTCCCACCGGCCCATCGGCAGTCGGCCACGCCCATCCCCAAAGTGATCCACCCGGACACCAAGTACCACGTCCCAAACTACTCCATTGTGAACAAGGACCGGACGATATACGCCGAACAGAGGTGGGGCAGCAGGGAGCAGCCCAGGTGGAAAGAGGACGTGATCAATGCAGGAGACTGCAACCCCCAAGTGGGGTCGGACGACCCTCATTTGGGGCAGGAGACCAATTCGGACAAGTCTTCGTTTCCTTCCTGCTCGCCCCCGCCGCCTCCACCTCCCCCCATGCGGAGGCACAGCCCGGACGGCAACGACCACTGCACGGAGGAGATTGAAATCCACGTGCTGTCCTCCACGACATCTACAGACTCGCCATCCAATTACAGGGACGAGTTTACTATTGTATAACCAAGGATTTTAATATAATCAACGGTTTACCTAGGGAGTTAGCCAGCAATTAATGGACGGTGACGACCACTGCACGGAGGAGATTGAAATCCACGTGCTGTCCTCCACGACATCTACAGACTCGCCATCCAATTACAGGGACGAGTTTACTATTGTATAACCAATGATTTTACTCTTATCAACGGTTTACCTAACTAGTTAACCAGCAATTTATGGACGGTAGCGATCACTGCACGAAAGAGTTTGAAATCCACGTGCTGTCCTCCGCGTCATCTACAGACTCGCCATCGAAATACAGGAACGGGTTTACCATTGTATAACCAAGGATTCCACACGAGGCCTAGTTAACGGTTTACCTAAGTAGCTAACCAGCAATAATCGGACGGTGACGATCATTGCACGGCCGGGAGATTGAAATCTACCTGCTGTCCTCCGCAATCTCCACAGACTCGCCATCCAACTTGGACGAGTTTACCGTTGCATGACCAAGGATTCCACGCTGATCAACGGTTTACTGAACTAATTAACCAGCAACAATCGATGAGCACAACCGGTTATCAACTACAGAGGTCACCGAGCAACTGTATCCTATGTTATTCAATGGTCATAATAAACGGTTTCAACCTTCATGTTTGGTTTCTTCATCGCGGAATACCACCTGTGCGAGCTTGATATCCAATTATTGCGAAGGCGAGGGCATCATTCGGGAACCATGGCAACCTGTAAATAATAAATTTACTCCAGCTACGCACAGCTGTTCGAATGGAGCATTCGCTGATCATGCGCTTTACTTGCCATCCAACTGTGTATAGGGCATTACACGTACAGTACTCTGTGGGACCAATGGCTGTGTACGTGGAGGGTTGCGGTCATTGACACAGCACTGAGGCGAGTCGTCACTGGTCGTCAATGACTTCCTTGTGATCCTTGACGTAAATACCTATAGAAATGTATCACTGGGACCAAGTAACCATACATTTTTTTTCACAGTGAACCAATTATTACTAACATTATGCAAAGTTGGCCATGTAGTTAAAATAGCATTGCAAGCCCCTATCCAAAACAATGGTGGGACCACAGGCTTCACTCGTTTGTCGCACACCCGCATAAAGTGCACCCCTGACACCAACCTCAGTGCAATGACGATGTACATAGCAGAACAGATTCCATTAAGGCTTTACCACCGCACAGCCGCCGGAGCTTTCAAAAATATTACATTGCTGTACTCATGTGACCATAACGCAATTAAGAAAGCTAACGATGTACAGGTGTTTCTGTTTCACGCAGTAACGAGCTTTCTTCCCGACACCAAGATTGCTTCACGTTTCATCAGAAAGTGCAAGCGTGGCCGGCTACACGAGTGCAAAGATTTATAATGGTCAGATGGTTGATACCAAGGTTTTGCAGCAGTGAAGATGAAGACGGATTGTATGAGACACCTGATGGCGGTGGGCTTTGTATTAGGCACGGGTTGGCTTTGGGATTTGCATGTTACTGTCAGATTTAATGGTAATAACTCTCCGACGTGATGTCATAATTGCATTGGTTCCCTCGCGTATAGGAAAACAAATTATTGAATGGATTAGCGCGGGTCAGATGGGTAATCATGTGGAAGTGATTCAGGTGTGCATCACTCTTAGTACATTGGGTTGCGAAAAGCCCCCAGTACAGCCTCCAGTAAGGGTCAAGCTTCCAGTAAGGGACGAGGTACTTTCTAGTCAAGCACTTTCTGTTAATTTGTTTTTAAACCATACTGCAGACGAAATATCTGACCATGGCCATTATTTGTTTGGCAACTGAGGAACACATAAGTGATATTAATATCGTAATCTTCTTGAATGATGCTTAGTGTAAACATAGCCATACCTCAAACTTTACCAAGTTTACAAACTCTAAGCTCTGTGAACGGATTGACGGGGTTTTTGTTCTAGAAAAACAGTTTTTTCCTTTGTTAAACAAAACTGGGTTTTTATTTTACAAAACAATAGTATTATGGCAAATTTTATGAAGCATCATGCACTGCAAAACTTTGTTTAACAATATTAAACACTTTTCTAAACACTTCCTCGATATCAGTTTATAGACATGCTCAGATACTAAACATGATAAGGATGGATAGTGTTTGGCAATTGAATATTGGTGATTAGGAATTGAACAAATATTGTTCAGCTTCTAAACATGTTTACAATGTGATAGCAAGATTGTGTTTAATTGCTCAACTCATTTTTTTAGAGTGTGATATATAGATCTACCACAGCTGGTTGTAATGTCTGCGTCTGAACGCAATGATTATACAGTGATCGTAACGCACATCGCTGAGGAGGAAATCTTAGTGTAAAAGAATTCGTGTCATCTTCAGATCATTTTTGACTGTTAATGCTGCATTCTACAATTATCATTCCTGATTTCTTTTCAATTTCAAAAAAAAGGGCCAACGAGTCTTGCATTTGAACGGAACATAAGTTTTGTAAACCAGCCGATGTGGCCAGATCTGTCTTAAAAGGTCAAAATGAAAAGTAATCATAAAAAAGCCTCCGGCAATTCAATTGTCTTGCCCCTCAGATAAGTAAATTTAGCCGCGTAATTCGGCACGGTGTAACCGCAAAATATTGCCACAATCTGGCATCGAATACAGCCACGAAGGACAGACGTGACTTGAAACTGACTTAAAATCTAATATCTGCTCGGAAACTGCAGAATTTCCCCTGTGACAAGCTAGGATGTATCGCAAGTATTGCCATCATTGTGTTTTTCTACCTGTCGTCTTTATATAAGTTAGGGGACAATGATGTTTGTTCGTAGTCCAGCCGGTTCAATTACTCAGAATACTGATGCTGCGGAGTTCCCCGGTTAGATGAAACCTAGACGAAATTGTTTTGGCGATTGCAATTTTTTGATTGCAACCCTCGACTGAAATATGAAGAAAAAAAGACAGATGAAATTATTACCTTGGGAGTTTTATTATTTCTCGATTGGCTATTCATGTGAGGCTCTCCGCCGCGACTACAAAACCAACGGGTCCCATGAGGCCTCATCAAGCGGTCGGTTTGGCAGTCGCGTCTTGGCCTCGCGGCTGGGGTCTCCAAGCGATGACCTTCCCGCATCCGACATTCCCATGCCGTCCCGCGGTGTATATTGGAAACAACTGCGCCCAGACATGTTTACGTTACATACCTTGTGTGGACATTCTTTTGTTTTTGAGTAGTTAAGAAAAACCTGTGAAAAAAACCTATTTTACTTACGCTGTAAAAAAATTCTTTCAACCCATTTTTTTCTATGATTCCCGTTAGTGTTTTCTTCATTTTGCCACAAATAAACCTAACCCCAAAATGCCTCTAAACCTGTTTAACAGAGACGGGAAACCTTGTGTGAACGTGGGCAAGTCCACACAACGTCGCTGCTACCTGGTTTATGTGGACCTCTTTTGTTCGGAAGTACACACAGTAATGCTTGTACAGCTCGTTGCGCGTGAAGGTGGTCATATCGTTCATGTGCAACCCGAGAGTCTCACACTGAAGAGATAGAGGCGAAAAAATTGTCATTGCTTCTCACTGCACTCCAACCAATTCCAACTGCCTTAAAACAAAATTACCCCTTTGAAAGAAAGGTCCCACCCCTTGTCATCATTTGCTCATTAGCTGATGAAACACTGCCATTGTCTTCAGGACAGATATTCCTCTCATTACAGCAATCGAGTTGCGGCTTATACATTCGCAAATGAAGGTTTTGTGAAATGGTTCTTCGGACCTTCAGAAGTCTTTTGAAACGCCTGGTTTGATTTCCTTTCTGAATGTTCCCACTCGGTCTGCTAGGTCGCGGAGATATAAACACAATCCATTATGAGGAATTATGGCCTTGATGCGTCTCGATCCCGGATTAAAAGCAATTCAGCTCCGTTGAATGCTCTCGCCTCCAGGTTTATTAAAAACAAATTAAATGCCCAACCCCGTTGTAAACATAAGAGCAGCGGAGATTCTCGGCGTCCGTGTATAAAATCATTATAGTTACCAACCTGGTAATTAATTAATGGTTTTCGTAAGCAAAATCAAACTGCAATTTAGAACTCGGATCGTCCTCGCTGGATTTGGTGTCGTGCGTATAACATTCGCATAGCTTCACTGTCTGATCTCTATTCAGCGTACTGGTACGTGTCGCCTATGAAACGTCAGACTGTGACCCATTGTGACAGTGACTGTGACCCATATTTTCCAGCGCCTTGAGTACCTAATTGTTGGTAGATACGTGCGCTATATAAGACGTTTATTGTACAGGGTGAATAAAAAATACGAAACCGAGAGATTGTTGCTAATTGGAACAGAATTAGGGCACATGTGAATCAAAGGGGGAAACCCTCTGTAAGGGTTGAATCTTCTCGTTAAAATGACACCATGATCATGTCCCTACATCAGTGGCAAATTTTATGAAAGGGTCTATTTAAAGAATTGCGCCACCTTTCATGGTGAAATCTCTTTTTTCCCCACCTACCTTGATTGGCAACCATAGCCTTTCACTCTGTGACAAATGACACCACAAAAACCACAATTGAAAAGTGGCGCAATTCTCGAGATAGACCCTTTCGTAAAATTGGTCACTGCTCAGTCAACCGAAATGCAAGGGCATGATCAGGGTGTCATTTTAAAGAGGAGATTCAACCATTACAGAGGATATCTCCCTTTTATTCACATGTGCCCTACTTCTGTTCCAATTAGCACCAATATGTCGGTTTCGTTGGGGTTTTTTATCCACCCTGTTTATACACCACTAATTAACGTATCGCTGTAAAATCGCGTCAACTCAGCTTGTGAAATATTGTTCAATTACATGATATACAAATGGACGCGAAACGCGAAAAATCTCAGACAAACAAAACTTAACGTACAAAATTCCATATGGTTATCTAAGGGGCATGGCTAACTCGCAAACGGCGATAGGTCAATCGGCGTTCCGATACACCAGTGCCAGGGTTGACTTGGTTGTTTTTTTGTTTTTTTAATCTACTGCCAGTCAGACATGACTTGTGCCGAAGTATCGATATGTTCTGACCAAAACATCATTGCATTGTTATTATGCCCGAGTTGGTTGATATTGTCTCTGTCGTGCATATTGCTGTGGTCCTAATGTTAATGGTATGGTGCTAAAAGAAATACAAGCGTAAAATGCTGTAAGATATCCAGGAATACATACCACAAGTAGCATTATATTTGTAAAGAAAAAAATGGCGACATTT